CAACTCAAAAAATGTATACACACTTCAGGAAAGCAAAAACTTGTCTTTCATAGTTTTATCAAATTGCAATAACACTGTTTATTGTAGGATGTTGTGTATCTCAGAAAAAACATATACAGCAATCTCACTGTACACTTTGTCCGATGTTGCCCAAGCAGTAGTTCACCATAATAAATGTCTGGAAGCTAAAGGCCACCATTTTGAGCAACTCTTTTGATTGTAGAGTCCAAAGGTAACATGTATTAATCTCATGTCTAAATTTAGTATTACAATATCTATACAAGTTTTTCCTTTTCTGAAGTGTGTATACATTCTTTTGGCAGACTGTGTGTGTGTGTGTATATATATATATATATATATATATATATATATATATATATATATATATATATAATGTGTGTGTTTTAAATGGTAATCTCATGAAATGTAGAATCACAAGTATTGTGTAATCTAAAAAATTTTTTTCTTTCACTTGTCATAATACCATAAGCAATAGTGTTACATTATATATCTATACCTAATGGTTGTATATATCTTCAAAAATCAAAATTACTGATTCTATCAGATGTTTCATAATTTCCTATAAATTCCTCTGAGCTAATTCAAAGAGATTTTTTTTTTCCATTCAAAAACTAAATCAATGAAAAGACATCAAGAATTTTTACAATGTTTGAATTGATCTTTTTGTCTGATGAGACAGATAACATCTGAAGGAACTCTTGAAACACCTTTTTATTTGATTTCAGTCTGACTATGAGTTTGAATTCTCTCTATGGTCAGTGTACTCTTTGGAGTTTGGAAAATATATTGGTAACCAGAATTGAATTCTGGCTTGGACTATTTATATTAGTACTGATGTCATTAAAAAAGGCATGAAACTACTTCTTTGTTCCTTTCACTCAAATCTTGACCAAAATAATTGTCTGGTTAACATAAAGAGTTTGAGTAAGCACTTGAGCCAAGCACCCTTGAACCATGACGTTATCTGCTCATATTCAATTCAATCATAACATATTTTCATATTTAGCATTTTTATTTAAAATGAAAATTCAGTCTGTTTAGATAAATCAAGATTTTCTTGTGGAACAATTTATGCTGTAACTTTATAAATAGTTAAACTAGCAATTAATATTTTTTTCTGTTTGATTTTTTTAACTCGTGTTCACCCAATACAAGGATGTACAGTTTAAATTCCAGTTGGGTTCGTTACATCCACAAATGTGCAAATACCCTTGAGAAAAGTATGAATTCAACTTCTTCTCCCAGCTATGGGCTAAATAGTAGGACTTATATATGGAAAATCACTGTTATTCTCAGAAAACTGTTAATGTAATATTTACTTGCAAAAAAAAAAAAAATTCTTACAATCCAAAATTTGTTTTCAACTTAAACAAAGGATTATTAAGCCATAAAAAAAATCACTCAAACACCCAATACAAGACTAGTGAGCTACTCAAGGTACAGGGTTACTAAATTATATTGCTTTATGCACATGTAGGGTATTAATGTTAATAGAATGAAATGATTAACATGAATGCTACAAAATAAAGGTTTTATTTCCTTTTCTTTTTACAGTACAAGAACTTGTGGAAAAATCTGAAAACAAAAATTGAATCATTTGTGTTTTGTTTTTCTTTAAAGTCTCTCTGAGTTGTAGAGAAGTATTAGCAGCTGCATGGCATTAAAACATTATTGTCAAGTTCAGAGTTGTAATTTGATACTGTTCATTCAGCAGTCAAAGGAGCGGGCTGTGGTGAGACACAGCTGTATTCATCTTGCTGGACAAGTAAACTGTTCTGAGGTAGTTTGAAAATATTCTCATTTTATATTGTTCTCATGGGCTTGCGCACACGCGTGTTAGCTCCATAAATTTCTTACAAAGTGACCGTATATTTTTTGTACACCCAATTGATCAAAAAATGTGGTTGAATGTTTTATGCATTTTTAGAAAATGCATGTATATATTAAGAATTGAACCAGTTTTTTTTTTTTTTTTTTTTTTTTCAAATGTTCCTTGAAGTGGAAATTGCATCATTTCCTGTAGACTGTAATTGTAGATTATTAGGATATATTGGATAGATAGTTTGACCTTAAACTTGGAGAGGTTAATCGTGTAATGGTTGGGGAAGCATCTTTTTGGGAGTCTGTTCCACAAACCAGCAGCCCTTGGGGTGAAGTTATCCAAATGGAACTTCCTTATTACTAATGGAATACAAAGGAATTGGGGATGGTTCACTCCTGTGTACATGGCATGGAGGTTTTAGCTGTAAAGGTCTGAACTGATCAAACTAAGAAGTGTAGTTTGTCAAAACATTTTCCATGGAAATACTGATAGAACATATACAGCCTGTGAAGTTGCATCTGTGGGAAAATGGTTGTAAGGTGGGAAATAATTCCTCACTCATGTGTAGCTTCTTTTGAACTATGTCAGAGATATATATATATATATATATATATATATATATATATATATATATATATATATATATATATATTAAGAGAAAGAGTGAGAGGATTGGGTCGCTCCAGCCCTGATATGCTAGAAAAAAAACTGCTCTTTATCTTGATTGCTAGGAGGTGCTGTCTACTTTTCATGCTTGTATAGAAAAGCTTATACACACAGGGTAAAAAATTAAAAAATAATAGTATTTGTATTTTACTACATTTCACTTGGTTAATATGGGGGTAGTGTAATGGTTATCAGCATGGAAAATGAAATTATCATGCCAAGTTCAAATTCTAACCTAGTCTGTTACATTCACTTACAATTTGATATTGGAAAAGGTATGAATCTTTCTTCCTTTAGCTATGGATTAAATAGCAAGTATGCCTGAATTCTCTTGCCTTGGTAGGGCAACCATTCTAGGAGAAAGAAAACTGAATTCAAAACCAGCCTGAAGTGGAATGGGCTGTCAGGTTATCCAGCTTTAGACCCCCTCCCCACTGTTATGGTTGTTGTATATGTTGTGTCCCTTGGACCCTAATCAGTTATGAGGTTCATGATTACCACATTGTGCTAGAGTCTTCCATGATTTTGTAGAATCTAATGTTTATTCTTCCCTTCTAAATAGTTGGTATTTTTCTTTACTGCAAAGAATATTTGCTGTTCATGAATATGCTTGAAGCTATTAGGTTGAGTCATTTGTAATTTTACTTTTTTGGAAACTAATTTAACGACAAATGCATCAGTTACTTTCACATCAATGTGACATGGCTTCCCTCTGTCTTTTCTACAAAGATTTTCATGGCAACTCTTCTGATGACCTTTTTTTTTTTTTTTTTTCCTGGTGCCCCGACTTCATGGATTTCTACTAGATTGTCAACTAGGTCTCACTGTTTTACACTTGAACTAGCCAGATTCAACAACCACTTCTAATCTGACAATTTCTTTTTTTGTACTTTTCATCTATGGAACTCCCTTCCAATGTCTTGCTTCCCTGATCACTAAATACAACCTCAATCATTATATTCTGTCATCTTTAATAAAAGCATTTCATTTAAAACTTTTTCACATCAAGACCTGTGGAATTTTACTCAAAAGGTATCAAAAAGTTTGATGAAAGATGACAATGTGTCATTAGAAATAATGGCCATATATAATTGAATCATTTAATTGTACTCTACATTTAATATTTAACAAAACTTTGGATGAGTTCTTGCTGCTTAAATGTACTTCTATGAAAAAGAGATTTTGATCTGAGTGAAACTGATATATCTGAATATTAAAATTATAACAAAATGTAGAAACTTGTATATAACATCAGGAAGAGTTGAAATTTCTATGGCACATAATGAGGAAAGAGGGCTTGGAAAATTTTATGCTTACAGGACAGAATGAAGTCAAGAGGGGTAGAGGAAAACAGTGCATAATCTACATAAATTGGATGGCTGAAGCAAGGTTTGGGAGAGATAAATTGACAATTTATCAAGAACTACAAAAGACAGGAAATTGTGGAGTGCCATTACTGCCAACATCATGAAGGGACATAGTATGTAGAAGAATAAACTAACCATATTGTAATGAAGTTTGTCATGCAGTCTCCAAAGTTAGATGTTCTGCCAGTCAATGTCTGAATTATGATCTAAGGCTAATTGAAATTTTTGTCTTCATGAAAGATTTATTTTTGGAAATAGTTGGGTGAGTTAAAGTGCTAAAAATTTAGAAGCTAATTTAATCCTGACATTGACAAAACTCTTTACTCTGTTCCAAGATTAGAATACAAATTACTATTGTCATCAATGGAAATTTACAAGACAAATATCCTTTAAAAAATATAATTATTTCAAAAGAACTTGTTTGCTTCAAGAGAGCAGTTCCAGAACTTTGTTTTGCATGGTTTCAAACTCCTGACAATTATAGATCTGTTTGCAATTTGCTGTAAAGAGTAGATCAAAAATATGTGAGAAAAGAGTAAATATGTCAATATGATGATAGAATTTTTATCTTTAGATATCTGCATTCCTAAGATTTTATTTTTTTAAATGTCGTCATGCCTCTTCCCAGAGTTCTTTTCTTTATCTGTGGACTTCTTGAGGGAGACAGGGGAATGGTTTCCTATTGCCTTCTCCACAGTTTGGAATTCAGAATTTTCCTTCTCTTAGATTTGTACCTACTCAAGGTAAGAGTCCAGCTTACGCTGTTATTTAAACAAAGCTCATTGGAGGAAAGATGGTTTCATGCCTTTCCCAAGAATATTAGTATTGAAATGAAAGTAACAGACTAGGCCAGTATTTAGAATTGGCTTGTTGGTTCCATTTTCTGCAACATTATCCATCACACTACCCTCACAACTTGTTTAGGATTGGAATTGTGGAACATTTGTCTTTACTATTGCTGATTTATCTTTGAGATTTCAGTTGTTGATCTTTTTTTTTTTTTTTTTTTTTTTTAAAGCAGACTGACCTGATTTATTTGGGAGATTAGCATTTTATATTGAATAGTCTGTAGATTTGTTCACTTACAGTAGCAATATACATAGTTTTTTTTTTCTTTTGCTTAAGGCCATATCACATTGATACAGCAGTTCTTGTCTGATCATCAAAGTTAAACAAGGTTGAACTTGGTCAGTACTTAGATGGGTGACCACTCAGAAATACCACGTGTTGTAAGCTTGGATATATGGGTTGTATAATGCATAATGACACTGAATGAGAAATCAGAGTTGAATTTGAATTCCAATCTGTTTTGTTATATTCACTTATATCCAAATACCCCTGGAAAATGTCTGAATTCACCAGTGAGAAGTTAAATAGTAAGACTTGTATAAGAAAATCATTATCTCTAAAAAAAAAAAAAAAATTCTTACAATCCAAAAATATGTTTTGGCTTTAAAAAAATGTCAAAAAGCCATAAAAAAACAATCAACATAACTTCTTTTGAATACGGTGTATTAGATGAGCAATTTTTCATTTATATAAGTTTGGTTAAGGATGAACAAGTTCTTTGTTGTGGATTTTCTTTACTTTTTACTATATATTGGATCATTGTCTGGTTTCCAGAGAAAACTAGAAAATGAATTGTCTAAGTACTTTTGGTTTTCATAAGCCATTATCTAAGCTGAAAGGATTCCAACATGAGACAGTTTTGTATTTAAACTTTGACCAAAAGCCAAGTAAATAGTTTGAAATATTAAAAAAAAAAATAAATCCTTAAAGAATTTGATTTGGTTTTCAACAAAACTTGTATACATCTTTGTTTTTATTACTTCAAATACTATTTCTACTGGATACCCATATTTTTCTATTAGATGCTTCTTTTTTTTTTTTTAAACAATGTTTATTTTGTGTATAGCCTGCACACTCAAGAAAACTTAAAGAAAATGTACTCTCCAGCAGGATTTTAACCTGTGTCCCCCTTTGCAGAAGAAAGCACTCCATAACCAAGTTGTTATCCACCAAAAATAACATTTAAAGTAATAAAAATGTTTTAGACTAAAAAAATAAAATCCATTAATCCTTTAAAAATTGCTTTGTTTATATTACAGATATGAAACTGAACAGATATGGCTTTTGAGAAAATCTGAATGGATAAATGTGTATTAAGGCTGCACAAAAAAAAATAGAGCAGTTGCCTTTTGGAGATAGAGTACACTATCTTTCTGGCCTTGGCAATCATTGTGTATCCATTGTTAAATTATATTCATGTCCAATTGCTGCCACAACTACACTACCTGTTATATCATATATATGTCCTCCAGCTGAATCTGTTTGTACAAATGGGAATTAACAAAACTATCCAGTGCATAACTGTCTTAAATTTTTCAACACTACATTTTATCTAAATAAATCTTTCCTTATTTGCCTGTCTTGATTGTATCTTTTACATCTATCTGCATTCACATAGAATTGTAAACTATGACAAGAGTGAACTTCTGTCTCATTACTGGATATGGCAATGGATCCATGGGATAATACAATTATTAGACTGGTACTTTTGTTTAGAAAGTAAGTTTAATTCACTCTAAACGTTATAAAAATATTTGATACAGTGTATGATTTTAATTGACAGACTTGTATAACAATATATGTCAATGCACTTTTATTTGATTTGAAGGCATGATCCAGAAATTAGCATGCTTTAAAGAATCTTATTCTTCCTCGATCTTAAGTAAAACTCATATACACAATCCATTGTTAAAGATGATGGAAAAATAGTTGGTCCCTTGTACTACACCAGAAATTACTGGACTACTTTTTTTTCTTTTTTTTTTTTTTTTTAAACTAATGTTCACTCAATACAAAGCCCAAAGGCCACTCAAGGTAGAGGGTTACAGTGTGGTGTGGCATTAGCATAAGAAAGGGCAGGATAACAGGAAAGACAACTAATTCTAGGCTTGAAGAGGTCAAGATTAAATTAGCACATAAAATTTCAGAGCTCAGTCAGAGATGTTAGAAGTATAGAGTTGAAGTAGACTTTAGAAGCAACTGGAAACCCAATCCTAAAAAGGAAACGAGATAAACCTCTACTCCTGTACAAAAAAACAGGGACATATATATATATAACATACATGTATATCAATTTTTAACAAATTAATGGATTTTTTTTCTTTAAAACCGACATATTTTTATTATGTTATTTTTAGTGGATACCCATGTTTTTAATAGATACTGTTTATTTTGTCTATCAGCCTGCACACTCAAGAAACCTTAATAAAGAAAATATACCCTTAGACAGGATTCAAACCTACAACTCCTTTGCAGGATAAGCAACTGTCGGATCTGGCATGCTTTGACAGCTTGGCTACAGAGTGCTTCACAGCCAGGAAAGGTTGAAAAGAGTGAATTAAACTTACTTTCTAAACAAAAGTACCAGTCTAATAATTGTATTATCCCATGGATCCATTGCCATATCCAGTAATGAGACAGAAGTTCACTCTTGTCATAGTTTACAATTCTATGTGAATGCAGATAGATGTAAAAGATACAATCAAGACAGGCAAATAAGGAAAGATTTATTTAGATAAAATGTAGTGTTGAAAAATTTAAGACAGTTATGCACTGGATAGTTTTGTTAATTCCCATTTGTACAAACAGATTCAGCTGGAGGACATATATATGATATAACAGGTAGTGTAGTTGTGGCAGCAATTGGACATGAATATAATTTAACAATGGATACACAATGATTGCCAAGGCCAGAAAGATAGTGTACTCTATCTCCAAAAGGCAACTGCTCTATTTTTTTTTTTTGTGCAGCAGTAGCAAAGGTTATGAGAGTAATATTTGAATTCTAGACATATCAGTGACACATGAAGAATCGGACTGCAGACAAGTGACAAAAAGGAACACTGATCACATCGTAATTCAATACTACTATCATTCAACCAGCCAAATCAATGTGTTCACTATGTTTTATGTAATTTCCTAGTCAATGACCAACAATGGAACAGTTATTGAGAACCAAAGTATTACTTTCTGTGCCTCACTTGTACAAGAAAACATTGGCACTGGATTATGGAAGATTGCCACAATGTCATCTAGTTAAAGAAGTAATGTTTCCAGCTCTTTCAAGCAAACAATCAGGTTCATATTTACAGGAGACTGCATGAGGTTATGGATTCATAATGGTATTTGCATGATATGAGTGTATTCTGTTGGTGTTTAAAAGGACCATGAGTGAAACTAGAGTCTACTTTGAAAAGTATAGCAATCACAGACCATGTTGCTTACTATTTGCATCCCTTTTCTGTTCACCCCTTTTACTTAGCAAAAGATGGATTCACTTGGCTTTTCACTGACAGAAGTCTTTTGTTAAATCTGAAACATCAATGTATAATATATATATATATATATATATATACACACACACACACACACACACACACACACACACATATATATATATAAAATTCATCGAGTCTAGAAGAAACCTCAACAGAATGCAGAAAGCTCTGGACGGCCATTTTGTCCTATATTTGGGAATCCTCAGCAGTGCACATCCACTACCGGGAATTGAAACCTGGACAGTCACGTTATCAGGTAAACGTCATAGCAACTGTTCCAACTGGCCTTGGTGATGAAGAGGTAACGAATTAAACTTGATATAGCGCCGCTCGATCACATATTCTGTAGTGGAACTCATCCAAGTTTCTCTTTTACCCATAGGACTGTGCCCCCACAAGCTATGACTACTATCCACAAGCTGCTCAGTCCAGAGCATTAGAAGCTGGTTCAAGCAAGGATATACAAGTGAGAGAAATTAGGAGGATTTGAGATAATTATAATTAAGTAATTCATCAATCTAGAAGAAACCTTATTAGAATGCAGAAAGCACTGGATGTCCGTTTCGTCCTATATTTGGGATTTATCAGCAGTACGCATCCACTACCGAGAATTGAATGTGGATGTGCACTTCTGACTAGTCCCAAATATAGGACGAAACGACCGTCCAGTGCTTTCTACATTCTGCTGAGGTTTCTTCTAGATTGATGAATTACTTAATTATAATTATCTCAAATCCTCCTAATATCTCACACACACACACACACACACACACACACACACACACACTATGTAATGGATTAAGTCCGGCAATTATTTTAACGTATTTTCTCTTTATACATTATTTTTATAGATACAAATATTTAATAAGAATTTCATAAGAAACAGTATTCCCCGCCTGAATGTCCAGGGAATTTCATAGAAAATATGTGTCTTCCAACAGGAATTGAACCTGTATCCTATACAGAACTGTCATAAAGCCTGACATGCTATACCATTTAGCTACAGAGGAAGCATCTGTTTAGCAAAGTTAAATTACTGTTATTTGTTTTTGTTTTGTTTTTTTTTCTGGCTGGTAAGTATAGTTAATACAGTTTATTATAAACAAAGCATTTACTGAATTTTATTTTAAATAGTATTTTATTTTGTCAACCAACATTTAAAGGAAAATGTGTCCATTGGTATGATTCGGACCTGTGTCCCCCTTTGCAGGAGAAACCATTGTTTGACTCTGCATGGTTTTAACCATTCTGCTATGAAGAGCTTCATAATCAAGCAAGGTTCTATCTGCCTGTAAAGCAGACTTTATATGTTCAGATTTCTTTAAAATTTGTAAATGCTCAGTTTTGTGTCCGAAATGTAAACCAAGCAATTTTTACAGAATTAATGGATTTTGTATTTATTACTAATCCAACATATTTTTATTACTTTAAACATTTACTTTTATTGGATACCAATATTTCAGTAGACTCTTCATTTATTTTAAATAGTATTTTATTTCATCTACTGGTCTGAACATTCAAGAAATCTTGTTTTCAGATCACCTTAGTTTTACTATTTATACCAAAATCACTTTTTGGTGTTCATTATATAACAAAAATTTGGTTTCACACACAAAAATATTGTTGGCTAGTGTATTTCTGGAGGATAATAATTTTAATGTAGTCTTTGTAAATAATGTACTTAGTATTATGAAGTTCAGCATCAGTCAACAGTAAATAAATAAAAAGTTAAAAACTTATCTTTCTGATTGCAAGTTTTGCAGATATCTACTCACAACTGGGTTAAATAATTCAAAATAAGAGTATAACAATGTGGTAATCTGGTTTCAATGTTTTTTGTTGCCTGAGAATGCCTATTGATGATTTCAAGCAGGAAATTATTAAAATT